TCCTTATCCTGTCGCCTTTGGCGTTCTTTCCCCCGCACTTCAACGATACCTCCATCCTCACCCTGATTGGTCGGTATGCCGACCTTCTCCTCGTCTCGATCCCACATCCGGATCTCCCCCCCCCCCGGTCCCCAATCCGCGCTGCCTACCCCCATCTTCGCAAATTGGGTCCCCGACCTACATCATCCTCCCCCCCTTCTTTACGTTAGGTAGGGGGACCCTGCTCGCCATCCACACCCCTTCAACACCTCATCGCTGAGCAACCTCACCTTTCATGCTTTTATTTAAACCGTACGGATCCCGACCGTACCTTGCAGGGGAGGGTGACTCTCCTGCTGCTTCCTCTGTGTCATGAATCCAAACCTAACCGACCAGATCCCGACCCTCTCATCCTCCTGATCGCGCATCCTCCCCCTTCCCCTCGTCCTCCTGCTTCTTCACCGTCTCAAGATTTCGATGGCCGCCTTCTCCTGCCTGGCTGACCGGGCAATTCTCCTCGACCTATCCTTCTACCCCCGAATACAACGTCCGGTCATTTTACCTGAATTTAGACTCAAAGATAGCTCAAATACAGCTATAATGACCGTGCGTTCTATTCGGGCCAAGAAGGGTACTGTTCCTTCTCCCCCTGCCTCCTCCTTCCGATAGCTGCCATGCACAAATCCGGTCCCATTTCTTTTCTTTGTCTTTTATTTTTCATTATTAATCGAAAATTGAAGCCGGGAATCCCTCAGCAAACAACCCGGAATATCAAATCTGGGACCATAACCCAGCTTAGGTGCAGGAGTAGGGAGACGCTCTCAAAGAACAGAATGGCCAAAATCCAGACCAATGTCCTGTAATCCTGTCCCACTTTCAACATAGCACTTCCACAAACAATGCAGTTGGACCCCTAATCGTGGATGGAGGGAAGGAGAGCTGTAGAGAGAGAGAGAGAGAGAGAGAGAGAGAGAGAGAGAGAGAGAGAGAGAGAGAGAGAGAGAGAGAGAGAGAGAGCACCTATTTGTTTTTTTGGCCGCGTGTGAACCGAACTCTCCACCTCTTCAAGCACAACACGGCTAAAAGAGGGAGGGAGGGAGGGAGGGAAGGAGGGAGGGGGAAGGAGAGAGGGAGGGAGGGAGGGAGGGAGGGAGGGAGGGAGGAAGAAAGGGAGGGAGGGAGGGAGGAAGAAAGGGGAGTGGAGTGCCCTTCGGCCCGCCGCGCGAACTCACCTATTTTCCTTTCTGGGCGAGTCTGAATGGAGCTCTCCACATCTTCAGGCACAACAGCGCAGGCACACAGAGAGAGAGAGAGAGAGAGAGAGAGAGAGAGAGAGAGGGAGGCAGGCTGCACTTCCCCACGCCCGTTTGCACGCAGCTTGACTCTGCTCCGCCTGTCTATTCCTTTCCAGCCAGCGCCGACCAGGACGGATGAAAAATCTTTACGGAAAATCTTTTTGGCCCAAGACACCAAAATGCGACCCCAGGAAACAAATGCCACCACCAAGCCTGCCGCCCTCGGCGCCCTTATCGTGAGTGAAGATAACCGATGAGGCAGGTCAGATACAGTCATATTGAGGGTGCGTTGTTGGTTGGGGAAGACGGTAGCTCAGTCCGTACACCCATGAACTGTTTTCCTTGATTTATGCGGGTCATCCTTATATGGGGGCCACGGTAAGCTTCTCTACCAAAAAAAAAAAAAAAGGCTTCTCTCTACCTCCCACCCGCCTATCTTAGTTGGTAAGGGAGGCAAGTACATGTAGAAGGTCTTGAGTTCAATGCCCCGTGCCCTTCAGCGGGCGGTGAGCAGAGACTGCTAGGGGGAGGGGACCGAAGACTCTTTTTTATTATTATTGATATTTGGTTGTTTTTCCGGGCGCCGGGGCACCCAACTTGTGGTCGGATACACGCCCAGGTGCCCGGCCAGGCATGACCCCTGGCAGGGTTCCAGGCAGCCTCAGTGCAAAAAAAAAAAAAACGAAGGTAAAAAAATTCCAGAAAAAAACTATGTTGTGTATGCGAAGGGCGGAAATCTTCCTGTCTCCCGATTCAGTTCTTTGCGCCGAGTTAGCAGAAGGAAAGGACCCTCTAGGTATCGCCCGAAAAACCCTAGACCGGCTTAGGGGGTTGAGAGGGGGTGCCACCGAAGGACACGAGGTAGATAGGGTTGAGTACCGAGGAAGGTTAGAGGTCCCTAGAGCAGCTCACAGCCGGACCTGGGAAATTCCTTTCCGGCTTGGGCGTACCGATTGCTCTACCCCGATGAAGATCCTAAATAGACGGCAAGTGATTGAAAAATTTCCCCTCGGAGAGGAGAGGGGACACGAGTTATTCACCCGGTGTTGGGAGTCGTAGGAGCATACAGACTTCGAGTGGTGGGCGCTAGTAAGGGAGTTCATTAAGCCTCTGTTTAGAGGGCAGGCCGGAGAGGTAGATAGAGAGCTGATCAGACGGTGTTCTCAAGAAGGGATTAGGGGCATTTCCGATCTAGAGATCGCCAACATAGTGCTAGCTGCTTGCGAAGAGAAAAGAGTACGCGACTCTTGGTGGACCGTGACTGGCAAAGAGCTCGAAGGTGGTAGTAAGGGACAAGAATCGAGTGAGGGGGAGGAAAACTCGGAAGAAAGTGACGAAGCGGGAGGACAGGAGAGTGTCACTAGCGAGGAAAGCGACTAGAGATTGGTGATAGGGTGCATGGAAAGCGTGGTGGAGCACGGAATCGCCCGATCACCTAAGACCACTGGCATGGGGCGAACCGAGGAGGATACCGAGTTAGGGGCGAGATTAAGCAAGTCGGCAGAAGAAGCGACCGAAGGGATAGAAGCTATTAGTAGGGCCTTAAAGAGCACGAAGGCACCTCTCGGAGAGAGAACTATGGAATTACGAGCGAGTTCCGAAGAGCGTTTGCACCAGGAAATGGAGCCGCGAATACCAGTAAGAGAGAGGACGGCGGAAGCCACGAGGGGCTTTCCGGTCGAAACCCGATGGGCAGGTCGCATGGACGCAGAAGAGAGAGTCGGCGAGGGGCAAGAGTTCCCTCGTGATAGGGCTGGATGCTGGGCACCAAAGAGGGACGAAGAAGGGACCCTGAGGAGGAGGGAACTAGCAGAAAAACGACCAACTGAAATTGGGGGAGGACCGCGAAGATGGGCTAGGAGAGAGACCAGTTCCACGTGGGTACAGGAAGAAGCGGTAGGAAGGAATGTGGGGGGATTCAGAGACATCTGGGGGGGATTTAGAGGCCAAGACCCCATGCGCTGGGAACGTGAAGACCGGGGCGATAGATGCCGACGTGAGGAGGAACCGTGGGGACCTCCGAGGGCTCGATCATGGATGAAAGATTTAGACCCGGCTTGGTACAAACCCTACGACCCGACGATAAATGGACCGGCGGCAAATCCTTACTTCCGTCGGTATGATGACCGACGAGTCCCCTACTACAATGTGAACTTAGAACTAGAATCGCTCTACTTCAATGGAAGGGACGTGATCAAGTTCGTAGAGAAATGAGAGAGTTACACCTGCCGGAAGAAGTTTTCGGAGAAAGAATGAATCGACCACTTTATACAACATTCGGACCCAAGAACTGGACCAGGCCATTACGGCAATATACTCGGCAGATGGGAGGTGGAGAACCTTCAAGAGCAGCTTATTGCGGATTTTCGCATGTGACAATCTGGTCCCCACAATAAAAGGGTTGTGTCGGGTCACGAGAGGGGAGCAAGAGAGTCAGGTGACATTCACTTGAAGATTCAAACGTTTGTCACAGATATTGGTGGATAGAGGGATGCTCTCGGAAGTAGACAGGTATGTAATGTTCATGTTGCACCTGCCTGAAGAAAAGAGGAAGGAAATTCTCGAGAGGGCCCCTAGAGACTCTGCGAATTTTGAAAGAGTCGCCGAGGTGGTCTTTACAGGAGGAGGAGTGGACGTGCGAAAGTACATGAAGGAGAGTCTGGACATGGCACTCCGGAGTATGCGTACTCAAAGAAACGATGGTCCTCGCGGGAACGAAAGACATCCTCCTGGGCCTCCGGCCAACGCTGGGGGGAGGACCCACGAGTTGGCGAAACGAACCCGGTAACCAAGGAAACTGGAGAAACGACCGAGAAACTAGAGAAAATCGAGTCTTGGAATAGGGGAATTCCCGTTGGAAGAATGCGAGGGATGGAAGGTGGGGAGACCCTCCCCAACCTAGGGCTGCGGGGACTCATCTCGAGGTGAGTCAGGCTAGAGTGCCGCAGCCGCCAGGCCCTTCGACAACCGTAGGAGCGGCACCTCAAGTGGCCCCTCGCCCTAACATTCCGCCGCCTCGAAGCGAGTATGTCTATTATAACGAAGATGGTTACATCAAGCGGGAGTGCCCTCACCTTACGGAAGCCCTACAGTTAGGAGTGGTAAAATTGAATGAGAACAAGTGGGTTGTTTGGAGGGATGATGGAGAGATGGTCTCCTTCTATCTCCCGATGAAGGTAAATGTGGACAAAAGGATAGCCCTTCGAGAGGTAAGACTTGGAAAGAAGTCTGAGGTTGGTGGGACCTCCAACTCATCCCGCGTCCAAATGATGGAGGCACCGGAGGGCGTGTCCATAAGGAAGCCGCAGGTGTTTAGCATCAAATTCGTTGAGACCAAACCTGAAGAGGAGGGGCCATGCCTAGGAGTAAGGACCCAAGTTGGGGTCGGGCCGTCTAAGAGCAAGGAGATCGCAACAGAAAGCGGAGGGAAGGAGTGGTGACGACGTCCAACCGATAGTCGAGGCCAAAGTCGCTGAAGAAAGGAAGGGGGAAGACCCCACGTCACCTAAATCACCTAGGAAGAAAGGACCAAAGAAGTTCGACATAAAGTCCACCTTGGACGAGATAGACACGGTTGTTCCCCTACGGAGGACTCTAATGCAGCCAATGCAATGCACTCTTCTGGAGTACTTAGTGGCAAGCAAGAGCGTTAGAGACGAGCTTTTAAGCATCACTAAGAAGGTGAGAATTTCGCTCGCAGGAGGGCCGACCATTCCAAGGGATGGACCCACCAAGGAAGAAGTTCAGCCCTCTAGGATCACAATGGAAAAACTGCCAATGAGTTTCTTATCGGAGGAAGAGGCCAAAAAATTCTATGTGTTAGGAAGCGATCAGCTCCAAGCCGTAGTGAGTGGGAAAAATATGAGAGCCTTCATGGACAATTGGTCCGAATCTACCGTATGTCGAGACTCCATTGCGAGGGATCTGGGGTTAGAAGTGGATAGAGGGGTATCCATGTCAATGGTAGTTGCGGATAACAAACTCCAACCAGCGGAAGAGGCATGTCACAGCCCCTTGATTGAGGTCGCCGGATTGAAAGCTACAATCCCAATTTTCTCGGTGAAGGAGTGTTCTTCCGAGTTGATCCTCGGTTGAGCCCGGTCCACGCTACCACGGTCGACCTTCCGGACGGGAGTCATACCCTCTCGATCCAGAGTCCGGACGGGATTCGAGTGGTCCTAAAGAATGTGGATGCTCAAAATGAGCGGAACCGAACCAGTATTCAAAGGAGGAAGGAAGCACAATCATGAGTGTGCCAGGTCCGACTAGAAGAGTCCCCCTTCGCTGAGAAGAAACCCCCGGGGGACCGGGTAGATGTCGAGGATGTTGGGGATCAAATTATAATCAATGAGTTAGGGTATGAGAAAGAGGACGAAGAGGAAAAATTCGGTGGGTGCGTAAGGCTGTTTTTTTTGGAGGAATCTCTCTAGCCGGCGGAATTAAGAAGCATAAAACCGTGGCGGAGAAAGTGAAACCCGCCGCGGTCAGCCGGGATAAAACGGGGGAAACCTCGATATCGGAGGAGGAGATCGTTGATATCATCCGGAAGCGGAAGGAGACCGAAGGGCAGAGGATTACGACCGACAGGCTAACAAAAATTGACATAGGGGATAAAAACCTCACGGAACAGGAGAAGGAATACGTGGCTATGACCCTAAGGGATTGCGACAAGGCCATAGCCTTCGATGATTCAGAGAGAGGAAGAATAGATCCGAGGTATGCTAAGCCCGCCCGGATCCATACGATCCCTCACGTTCCTTGGAAAGATAGACCGTCGTTGAAGTATACGCAAAAAAAGAAGGAAGAGATAGTGACCTTCATCAAAGAGAAGATAAGGACGTTTGTCGCGGAACCTTGTGAGAGTGCCTATTCCAACAAGTGGTTCACCATACGGGATGTGGGGTTTATACCTGAGGCGGATCTACTCACTGAAGGATCGGTGAGTCGTTCGATCTACTCGATCTGCGATCGTTTCTCGGGCTATGATGAGATCCCATTGGACTACAGGGATATACATATGACTGCGACGCACACGCCTCTAGGGCGGTCCAAATGATGGTGGTACCTATGGGGTGGACAAACGGTGTGGCAATATTCCAAGGAGCCATGATCGCGGTCCTCAAGGAATTCATACCGGATAAGGTAGAGGTCTTCCTTGACGATTTTCCAATAAAGGGACCGGTCAAAAAGGATGAGACGGAGGTCTTCCCCAGAGTAAGGAAGTTTGTGGTGGATCATACGGTAGATGTGAGGGAGGTCCTCGCGAGATTAGACGACGCCAACCTTACCGTGAGTGAGACTAAGAGACGTTGGGGGGTGTCGTCAATCAAGATATTGGGCTTCATATGTGACAAGGATGGGTGAAGGCCCGATCCCGCAAAACTGGAAAAATTGATGATCTGGTCGTCGCTAGTAAAGTCGATCACGAAGGTTAGACAATTTTTAGGGGTGGTGGGTTACTGGAGGATCTTTATAAAAGCCTATAGTGAGAAGGCGGAACCACTTAGACGGTTGCTTAGGAAAGTTGAGGGATGGACCTGGGGAGAGGAGCAGGCCGCAGTCATGGAAGCCCTTAAAGTGAAATTTCGTGAAGGTGGGCAAGTCCTAGGAGTTCCGTTCTTCGAGGACGAGGAGAACTGCCCCTTTATAGTATCTACGAATGCGGGGCCTTGTTCCGTAGGAGGACTTCTGTCGCAAAGGGATCAAAACGGGAAAGAGAGACCCCTTCGATTTGAGAGTCGGGCCTTGAATCCCACCGAGAGGAACTACAACCAATTCAAGAAAGAGGTGCTGGGGGTATTGCACTGCCTAAAGACCTTCCGCCACTATATTTACGGGAGACGGTTCCTCCTAAGAGTGGACCCGACGGCGGTAGTGGTTGTCCTTCAAAATGACTTTTTGCTAACCGACCCAACTATCGCTAGGTGAACGATCCATATCAGGCTCTACGATTATAGGGTCGAGAGGATCTCCGGGGTAAAAAATCAGGTCGCCGACGGATTGTTCGGACTCCCGATCCGAGAAGAGGATTATCAGAGACTGGAGAAAGCGACGCTCACAATTGCCAAAAACGAGGTGATCCAAGCCACCGCTATCAGGGCGCAAGCGAGGGTGAAGACCCGAGAAGGAGGCGAAGGCCCTAGGACATTCCTCACCAACCTTTACGAAGGAAAGTACCGAGATATAGCGTTGTACCTGGCAGGACGGGAAGAAGGAACCGAAGCGGTAAAAAAGGAGGCACTCAGGTATTGTCTACGAGGAGGCTACCTCTTTAAGAGGCCCACCAAGTTCGCAATTCCAATGAGGGTCCTTTGCGATCCAGAAGAAAGGAAGGCGGTCATAGAAAAATTACACGATGGGGTCGTCGGAGGTCACCGGGGGGTAAAAGAGACGTTTGATAAGGTTCGACGACTTTACTGGTGGGACGAACATTACGGGGAGGTAGAAAGATATTGTTCGACCTGTGAACCCTGCCAAAAGAGGGCGACCGTCTGCTATAAGGAACCCCTCGTGCCGTCATTCCCCACAGTGTCGGGCGAGAAGGTGCATGTGGACTTGGTAACCATGCCCAAGGGAGTCGGTGGACGTGGACTTGGTAACCATGCCCAAGGGAGTTGGTGGACTTCGGTACATAATCAATGCCCGCGATGACCTCACTGGATTCATGGAAGCTAAGGCTATTAAGAAAAAGACGGCCGATAAGGTGAGTGACTTTCTCCTATAATACATCTCCCGGTACGGGTGTGTCGGGAAGATAGTCATCGATAGGGGGTCCGAGTTCTCAAGCCAAAAGGTCAAAGCGATATTAGAAAAGGCAGGGATTAAGGCAACCTATACAACCGCCTATCACCCCCAAATCAACGCTCCGGTCGAAAGAGGTCACCAGACGCTTGTAGATGCCTTGACCAAGTGGTGCAAGGGCGTGCGGAGCAATGGCCAAAGTATTTGCGCTATGCAGTTTGGGCTGACAACATCACGGTCAAATCAAGTACGAGGTATCCCCCTTACACCCTTTGGTTCGGTAGCCATTGCCCCCTGCCCATCGAATTTTACGTCGACACTTGGACCAGTGTCACGTGGAATAACAACATAACAAGGGGCAAGTTGTTAGAAGCAAGGATACAACAAATAGCTGAAAATCTTGACGCTGAACTTACCGAGGCGGGGAGGAACATCGAGAAGGAGAGGACAAAAGGGAAGGAAAGGTGGGACAAGAATTTGCGGGTCCGACAAAAACCGATAGGGACTCGTAGTAACCTCGTCTTGATGTA